CTTTTCCACATTCACTGCATTCATAGTGTTTCTCTCCAGTATGAGTTTTCTGATGTATACTGAGGTCCGAATTCTGGGAGAAGCCTTTTCCACATTCACTGCATTCATAAGGTTTCTCTCCTGTATGAATTCTCAGATGTCTAAAGAGATCTGATCTCTGGAAAAAGGCTTTTTCACATTCACTGCATTTATAGGGTTTCTGCCCAGTATGAATTTTCTGATGTGTAATGAGGTTTGACTTGAGGGTAAAGGCCTTTCCACACTGAGTACATAGATAAGGTCTCTCTCCTGTATAAACACTCTGATGTACACCAATTTGTGGCTTCTGAGTGAAGAGTTTGTCACTTTTGTCACATTCATGGGATTTTTCTGCAGCATGAATTCTCTGATGCTCAAAGAGATGTGACTTCTGGGTGAAGCCCTTTACACATTCAGTACACACATGAAGTTTCTCCATAGTATGAATTTTCTGATGATGGATGAGAGCTTGTTTGTGGCCAAGATGTTTCTCACATTGATTATATTCACAGGAATTCGCTCCTGTCTTAATATTCTCATTCTTAGTAGAGGAAGAACTATGGGCCAAATTGTTACCATTTTCAAAAATCCTACCAAGGCTCTTTGTTGCATTGTTTCTGTTATGATTATGTAACTTTAAAGTATGCTTCAAACTCTTTCCAAATGTGTCACAGTTATGGAGTCTTTTAATTGAAGGAATAAGCTTGGTAGTCACATGAATTATTTTTTCAAAGTTTTTAAATTCATAGCCCTTCTCCTTAATCAATACTTTCATGTAACTTAAAGGGTTATTCTGGTTTTCCTGATATCTCTCTAGCTGGTTGTTATCTTGCCACACTTCTAAAATGGGACACAATGAATCTTCTCCTATGGGTTGATCAAATCTCTCACAGTGGAATGAAACTTCTCCAGAAATTCCCTGTTGTTGAGTTTTCCCAAGAGCCTCACCTAAAAAGAAAAAGAAAGAAATGAAAATCACAGAAAGAGTCATTAGCAGAGGACAGAGCATACATGTAGTTCAAATAGGATGAACACAGAAAAATGGAAGAGTTCATATGACAATAATAATACCAATAATGTAGTAATACAAAATTCTTATAGAATGATTAATAGATGCAAAACAATTATATACCATTTATGATGCACCAGGTACTGTTCCAAGTACTTTACACATAACAGCTCATTTAACCCTCACTAAACCCTATGAGGTAGCTACCATTATCAACTGCTTTACAATTGAGAAAACAGAGGTACAGAGATGTTAGGTCACTTGTTGAAGATCAAATAGCTAAATAAGCGGAAGAGATGTGATTTGAACTCTGGGAATCCAGCTCCACTATGTAAGACGTCTGGATAGTGAGTAGAGCAATCAGAAAAAGAAACTAGAGCCTATTACGGGAAAGCCTGGCATAGAAGAAATATTTCGGAATGCATGTCCTTATTTATCGGCTGTAAAACCTTACTAACCTCTCTGCTTCTTCTTGCTTTCCCTCTAAACCATTATGAGCATCAACGTTAAATTTATATGCCTCGAACACCAATTTCTTTATGTCTACAGGAAAACTGTTGCAACATCAGCATCCTGACATAGACAAATCGTAAATAGATATCTGTGCTCCAACTCTATAACCAGCTGCAAGTTTCTCTTGGTCCCAGGAATGCATGCTTATAACAAGAAGTATAAAATAGGAAAGGGAAAGTCCTCTGCAGAAGAAACTGCAAGCCCCCTGCTGAGCTCTATTCTCCCCTTCTTTCATAGTAATAGAATGTAGCTGGGCCTTACATTCACCAGCCTCACTTTGTTTTCACCAATGGAATATAAGCAGAAGTGATACGTGCTTCCAGACAGGCCTTAAGACAGTAGGCAAATCTCTATTTCCTCTTACCTTTTTCCACTGGATTCCACAGCGACCCAACACTAACTGTGCGGCTGACGACAATGCCCTAGGAGATGGCAGAGCAATGACTTGGAACATGGCTCCTAAATGATCCATTGAGATCAAAGTCGACTTGTTGAACTGGACCCATTCACCTCAAAATTCTTTTTTTTTTTTTTTTTTGAGACAGAGTCTCACTCCCTTGCCTGGGGCAAGTGCCGTGGCATCAGCCTAGCTCACAGCAACCTCAAACTGCTGGGCTCAAGCAATCCTACTGTCTCAGCCTCCCGAGTAGCTGGGACCACAGGCACACGCCACCATGCCCGGCTAATTTTTTCTACATATATTTTTAGCTGTCCAGTTAATTTTTTTCCATTTTTTGGTAGAGACGGGGTCTCGCTCTTGCTCAGGCTGGTCTCGAACTCCTGAGCTCAGAACGATCCACCCACCTCGGCCTCCCAGAGTGCTAGGATTACAGGCGTGAGCCACCGCGCCTGGCCCACCTCAAAATTCTTATATAAGAGAAGACATATGTGTATATTTAGCTTCTTGTTTTGCCACTCTATTATTATTCAAAACGTATTATCCTTCTAGATATTAGTTCTAATTTCAGTATACCTCTAGGGAGCTTATATTTGATGTGAATTTATAAAGCAGACACTGTGCCATTCATATCGATATACAATTTGGTACAGTTTCATAACAGAAAGAATGAGTACACAAAAGGTTAGAGTGTTAACATTTCATGCAGTTGTCTTCCCTTTCCAAATGGTCCTTTGGATTCCTCTGAGCAGATGCTTAAAAAATCCTTCTGAAAGAGAACAAAATATCCTCCTCTGCCTTTCTCCCCAAATTTAATAAATTTGTTTACTAAATATTTTCTACATGCTTCATTTCACAAAACTAGAGAATCGCTGTGCCAGTTATCAATGTATTGCCTCTCGACTCCAAATTCATCCTTCTTTGCCTGTTCTACAAAAATGGATTTGGGTCTCTTTAAATATTTTTTCCTCTGCCAGTCTGCAGGATGATAAGCTTTGTCAGTGGAAGATGCTGGAGAGACACTGCAGGAGGAGGCGGTTTTGCCTCCCTTCTGGTTCTAGGGGCCTCACTCAGCAGGCTCCTCCAGCAGGGGCAGCGTGTCTACCACCAGGATCCTGCAGTGCAGACAGCTTTGCTGACACCCGGCTCTGGATGCACACGCAGATGTCCCCAGCGCCCCAGTCTTGCAGTGTGGGTGGCTTCTCCAGCACCCAGCTCCTGCAGCTCATATGGCTGTCCAAGCACCCAGCTTGTTCAGGCTCCCGTAGTGCATTGCAGCCAGCAGCACAGCACCCAACAGTTTACTCTCGGGTAGTTTGTAGTGGAATGCCTCCAATGAGACACCTCCCCATGAACAACTTTCTCTGGAACCCTATCAGGCACATTTCCAGCAAGTTCTACTAGCATAGCACCACAGCAAGTCTTCTACCATGCTGTGAACCACAGTTGTGCCCTCCCCACAAGGTCTGGATCTCATCCCTGGGAAGCAGGGGAGCCTCTTCCTTGGGTGCCCTGTCACAGTCCTAGAGAAACTGGCTGAGCTTTATATCTGCTATTCCTTTATTTTTCAGAGTTCTCTTTACCTTTTACTGGCTAACCTCTCTTACTCCAATCCCACTCTGGTTAATAATCATGTTAAACCTTCCCTGTTTAAATTAGTGTGTGGTTTTCTCTCTCCTGATCAAAAACAGGCTCTCTCTCTCTCTCTCTCTCTCTCTCTCTCTCTCTCTCTATATATATATATATATATATATATATATATACACACATACACATATATTTCAAAACATCATGTTGTACATGAAAAATATATACAGTTTTTATTTGTCAAAATCAATTAATTTTTTTTTTAAAGAAACAGGCTCTTAATTCTGGAGACTTTTTAAAAACAGAGAAATAAAAGCCTCAGTTGCCCCACACTCTAAAATCTGTGATTTTTCTCTGGATTCCTATGGGATGGAGAATGAGAAAAAGGAAAGAGCCATATATGTTGGAGTAATTAAGAGCCATTTCATGAGACAGGTGAAATCTGATCACAAGGTGGAAAATGTATCAACTGAATAGACAGAGCACAGAATAAAGAGTCAGATTCAAGGAGGACTATAAAATATGATAAACATTAAGAAAATATTAAAAAAATAGAGTTGAGCAGAGGTTACGGAAAATATACAAATACGAGTTTGAACTGGAAATATGTTGCCATGTTGTTTATCTCTTTGCAAGAAGAGTTTAATCGTGGCATACTAGGTAATGGAGATCAACTGTAGGTTTGTTTCATAAAGCTTATGGCAAGATAAATAGAGTGTTTTAGGTAATGCAATCTGTCACTAGCATTTAAAATGAACTAGTAAAAAGAATGGAACCGGCAAATCAAATCAGGAATGGAATATTCATGATCCAGGCAGAAGAAAATGTGGAGCTGGTTTGGAGTGATCTCATTGGGAACTGAGAAGATGAACTGAGACATGAACTGCAAAGAACTGAGAACAGACAACAAGATTTACACAAAGGCAAAAGCAGTAGAAACTGTAGAGTGATTAATAAAACAAAATGGCTGAGAGGAACTATTTAAGAAACACTGACAAAGTGTGACAGACAAAATTCGAAAGGTGAGAAGAGTTTCTGATATGTGAGGTGATGATTCTGATTGCCAGTGTACTGAGGATCAAGACAAACATCTCATAGGAACTCTCTGGGTAGCTGAACATAGTAATTAAAGCGCCAGTGAAAAACAGAGGACGGGGATGTCAAAAGAGGAGCCATCAGAATTCCAGTGTGGCTGCATCATTACACGGACATGAAGGAAAGACTGGTGAACAGGAGATGAGGTCCCCAGGGGAACCTCATTTATGGGGAAAATGAGGAAGAGAAGGCTGGAAAAAAGGGCAAATAATAAATCGGATGCAAATCAGTAAGAAACAGACAATTGAGAAAGCTCAACTGAAACATGGGGAATGTGATGAACAAATGTAACTCAAAGAGATAACAGGTAAATAATTAAATGCTCAAATTAGATATTAGAGAAATGCAAAATAAAAAATGAGATATCGCTTTATACTCATTGTTGGGCAAAAAAACGAGAAACTGGCAGATAATTGTTGACAGGAACTCTGGGAAAGCAAGAACCCTGGTGTACTGTTGCTGTGAGTACAGCGCAGCCAATCTGAGAATAACATGCTAGTACTCAGCCAAATTCAGCCTGAGAATACTCAACGATTAGGCAAACCCTCCCTTCTCTACACACCCCTGAGAAATTCTCACAGCCCATAAGGGCACATTTATGTAGAAATTTGTTGCAGAGTTGTTTTTATTGGCTGGGAGTTAGACACAACCCTCAGTGTCCACGTTCGGGTCAATGGTTAAGTAAGACACGGTGCTGGCACACTGCGGAATGCTCGGCAGCAATTTGAAGAACAAAGCCAGACAAACACACCATAATATGGACAAACCTTTGGAATGAGTGAAAAAGAGGAACAGAATTAAGACACACGGCACAATATAATTTATATATACTACAAATATATACTCATAAAGCAATACTTCAGGCTTTAAGAGAATATCACACGAACACGTTGGCCCAGTTGCCCATGAGAGGAGGTATAAGGAATGGATATGCGGAATTGGAATAAAAGAGAAGAAACTGAAAAATAGCTGAATGTACAAGGAAAGAACCTACGATCGGGGGTGAGGTGGAGCAGGAAGAATAAAAAGGTCCCAGGTAAGATAGGGTGGTATGTGGGTAGAGAGTAGAGACAGCTCTCTTGCCAAACAGCCAAGCTGAAGTGGAAAATTCCACTACTGGGCTTTGTCCCTTGCATTCCTTACCTGAGGCCCCTCCTCCCCTGCGACCTTTCCCCTCATAAATCATCTGTAGCAATTGGTGTACCCGGCTGTAAAGTAACTTAAGACCCTGCCTCACTAAAGTTAACCCTGTTGTAGCCGTGCCCCTCCCCCTTAAGCAGAGTGTATAAAAGACTGCAATGCTCTTTGTCTGGTGCTCAGAATTTGGAGGGAAAAATCCCCATCTGAGCCCGCTGAAACCTGTTTTTGCCAATATTTCTGTGTGCGTGTCAGTCTATTCCCGGTCATCTCTGCCATAACAAAGCAAAGAAGAACACAATAATGTGGCAAGGGTCATACATGGAGATGGCATTTAGGTATATGAGGGCTACTGTCAACTATCTCCAATCAACTCTAAAAGTTTAGAACTTCAAAGATGGGCTATCTTCACAGCCTTTCAAAGGCATCAGTGTCTCCTAGGGAAAGTGACATTTACTTCCATGTCCCCATCTGTCTGGATCACTCACTCACCTGAATCGCTCTGGTGTGGGGCTTTCCCCTCCAATGTCCACAGCCCCTCCTCTTGCTCCAACTGGAAGATGGCCTCTGGCTTGGGAACTCGGTACCCTATTAACAGGACATGATACAGGATTGGGTCCAGCTGATTGGGTTTCAGGGGCCTTTCAATGACACTTCCATTTACTCTTCAGAAAAGTAACCACATTTTACTTGGAATAGAGTAATAATCACAGAGGTGAAAAGGGACTGAAGAATCCCAGACAAGTCAAGGATGACACCATCACACACTTCCGATGTCGCGCAGCGCTCAGCAGCTGAGATCGCAAACACCCTCACTGGGGCCCCTCGCAGATGCGCAGGATGGCTGTGCTTACCCACTGAGAGCAGGTGGCTGTAATTCTCCAGTGTCACATCCCAGTACAGGCGTCTCTGAGCAGGGTCCAAGTGCTGCCACTCCTCCCTGCTGAAGTCCACAGTCACATCCTCAAACGACACTGGTACCTGTAACAACACAATCAAGGCAGCATGGTCAGCTCTGGAGGATGGAAGATAGATAGGAAGTTGTTTTTAACGCTCTTTATGATAATGTAGCATGTAGGGGTTGCATTAAATACCTAATTTTGTATTTTGTTGTATGAGAGGAGAAAATTATTAAAGTATCTTAACAGTCATTGTGTACTACATTCATTCATTTATTCATTCAGTCATCCCTTTTTCAAAAATGAGGATTTAAATGGACTCTAAGTCCTCTAGTTAACTTAAGAACTAGATACATTTACTGATCGATTATGTACTAGATGATGAGCTAGCCAATGGTGACATATAATTGAATAAAGTGTAAAACAACTTAAAGACTTGGATAACCAACATAGGAAGACACAAAGGGAGCTAAAAGACATTTGGAAGAAAAGTATAGTAGGTATAAGGTTAGGCTACATAGAGACAGTGGGTATGAGTTATCTAGAAGGGAGAATCATGAGCAAAACTGTGGAGGAAGGAAAATAGAAAAATGCATGGTAGGTTGGGAGTGGTGGCTCACACCCGTAATAGCACTTTGGCGGGGGCAAAGCGGGTGGATCACTTGAGGCTGGGAGTTTGAGACAAGCCTGGGCAACAAAAGGAGACCCTACCTCTATAAAAAAAATGTTAATAATTAGCTGGGTGTGATGGTGCATGTCGGTAGTCCCAGCTACTGGGAAGACTGAGGCAGGAGGATCGCTTGAGCCCAGGAGTTTGAAGTTGCTGTGAGCTAGGCCAACGCCACGGCACTCTAGCCCGGACAACACAGTGAGACTCTGTTTCAAAAAAAAAAAGAAAAGAAAATACACGGTGGATTCAGGGAATTAGAAATAGTTCCATATAAAGGAGAGGAGTCTGTGTAGTATATTGTATATTGAGAAAGCAGTTATGAGGAAAATTCAGTAGAGATATATTGGCTTCAAAACAAGGAACAAGTCTTTTTCTAGTAGAGAATGAACTGCCATTTATATGCAGGAAAAGACATGATCATAACTGTATGCTTTAAAACAGTATTCAAATGCATCATAAGGAATATTCGAAATGAGTCAGACCAGAAGACCAGTCTGGAGATGAACTGCAGAGTTTATGCGAGAGAATAAAACAATCTGGACTTAACATAGCTGTTGTAATGGGGATGTAGAAGAAGGTGTTGACGCTATGTTTTAAGGAGGCTGAATTGTGGGGGTGAGAAAAAGAAAGAATTCTAGGGCAATTTTCAGTTCTTGATTTTACACAATCATGTAGACCGTGCTGCTATCTACTGAGAGAGGGGCTAGTAAGTGGTGGGGTAGGGAAGGGGATGAAACATAATTGTTACGTTTTGTCCATGTTGAAGTTAAAGTGGTAAAACACATAGGGAGTTACATAATAGGTTTTTGGGCTAGGACAGAGATAAGATTTGGGAGTTCTTAGTACAAATGAGACTGCTCAGGAAGGGCACACAGACAGAGAAGATACAGAGACCACATCGTACAGACCATCTCGAAATGCAGTACAATTAAGTCAGAACTCAATAGTAAGAGGAAACTTTTCAGAAACCATAATGTTAAAGTTTAAAAAAGTTTTAAAAAGTTCAAAATGGAGTTCGATTGGTAGCGGGAGCGGAGAGCGGACCCCAGAGAGCCCTGTGAAGCCCTACCGCCGCCGCCGGCCTAGTTACCATCACACATCGGGAGGAGCCGCAGCTGCCGCAGCCCCAGTCACCATCATGGTAACCATGAGCAGCGAGGCGGAGACCCAGCAGACGCCCGCCGCCCCCGCCCTCAGCGCTGCCGACTCCAAGTCCGGCACCACGGGCAGCGGCGCAGGGAGGGGCGGCCCGGGCGGCCTCACATCGGCGGCGCCTGCCAGCAGGGACAAGAAGGTCATCACAACGAAGGTTTTGGGGACAGTAAAATGGTTCAATGTAAGAAACGGATATGGTATCATCAACAGGAATGACACCAAGGAAGATGTATTTGTACACCAGACTGCCATGAAGAATAACCCCAGGAAGTCCCTTCGCAGTGTAGGAGATGGAGAGACTGTGGCGTTTGATGTTGTTGAAGGAGAAAAGGGTGCGGAGGCAGCAAATGTCACAGGCCCTGGTGGAATTCCAGTTCAAGGCAGTCAATATGCAGCAGACCGTAACCATTACAGACGCTATCCACGTCGCAGGGGTCCTCCACGCGATCACCAGCAGAATCAACAGTGAGGGCGGGGAAAAGAGTGAGGGTTGGAGAGTGCTCCTGAAGGCCAGGCCCAGCAACGCGGGCCCTACCGCAGGCGAAGGTTCCCACCTTACTGCATGCGGAGACCCTGTGGGCGTGGACCACAGTGTTCCAACCCTCCTGTGCAGGGAGGAGTGATGGAGGGTGCTGACAACCAGGGTGCAGGAGAACAAGGTAGACCACCAGTAAGACAGAATATGTATCGGGGTTATAGACCACGATTCCGCAGGGGCCCTCCTCGCCAAAGACAGCCCAGAGAGGACGGCAGTGAAGAGGATAAAGAGAATCAAGGAGATGAGACCCAAGGTCAGCAGCCGCCTCAACGTCGGTACCGCAGCAACTTCAATTACCAACACAGACGCCCAGAAAACCCTAAACCACAAGATGGCAAAGAGACAAAAGCAGCCAAAGCAGCCGAAGCAGCCGATCCACCAGCTGAGAATTCGTCTGCTCCCGAGGCTGAGCAGGGCGGGGCTGAGTAAATGCCGGCTTACCATCTTTACCATCGTCTGGTTTAGTCATCCAACAAGAAGAAACGAATATGAAATTCCAGCAATAAGAAATGAACGAAAGATTGTGCTGAAGACCTTAAGTGCTTGCTTTTTGCCCGTTGACCAGATAACTAGAACTATCTGCATTGTTTATGCAGCATGGGGTTTTAATTATTTTTACCTAAAGACGTCTTTTTTGGTAATAACAAATGTGTTTTTTAAAAAAGCCTGATTTGGCCGGTACGGTGGCTCACGCCTGTAATCCTAGCACTCCGGGAGGCCGAGGCGGGTGGATTGCTCAAGGTCAGGAGTTTGAGACCAGCCTGAGCAATGAGCGACACCCCGTGTCTACTAAAAATAGAAAGAAATTATCTGGCCAACTAAAAAAATATACATAGAAAAAATTAGCCTGGCATGGTGGCACATGGCTGTAGTCCCAGCTACTTGGGAGACTGAGGCAGGAGGATCGCTTGAGCCCAGGAGTTTGAGGTTGCTGTGAGTTAGGCTGACACCACAGCACTCTAGCCCAGGCAACAGAGCCAGACTCTGTCTCAAAAAAAAAAAAAATTAATAAAAAAGCCTGGTTTTTCTCAATATGCCTTTAAAGGTTTTTAGATTGTTTCATATCTGGTCAAGTTGAGATTTTTAAGAACTTCATTTTTAATTTGTAATAAAAGTTTACAACTTGATTTTTTCAAAAAAGTCAACAAACTGCAAGCACCTGTTAATAAAGGTCTTAAATAATTAAAAAAAAAGTTCAAAATAACTGATAGTCTAAGAAGGTACTCTAGAATATGTCTAGAACAAAACATTAATGAAATTAGTGCATGTAAGAATTTGTAGAATAATAAAATGGTAACTAGAGTGAAAAGCAGAGTCTTCAGTGCTCATATTTAAGTCCGAAATTTCATGCATTAAGCATCTAAATCAAGACATTATAAAGATAACAGTAGAGTAAACCCCAAGAGAGAAAGACTAAAATAAGCAGAAATCAATAAATTCAAGGCCATTCCAATTGAAATAGCAATGGGATTTTGTGGAATCTACCAAACCAATTACAAAATTTACATGGAAATGCAAACGGACAAGAATAGCCTAGACACTCCTGAAGAGTAAAGGCAACACCAGAGAACATGCTTTTACAAGACCGCAAGACTTATAAAAGAATGGAAATTTAAGACATGTGGTAGTGCTTCTAGGATACACAAATAATCCATTAGAACAGCATAGAGGACAGAAACAGATCCACATAAATGGTCATCCCATTTTTGCCAAAGGTGTCCAGGCAGATAGTGAGGAAAAATATTTTCGATAAATGGTGCTAGAGCAATTGTATATAGGAAAAAATAAAATAAAATTTGAGCTCTATTTCATATCACATGCCCCCCAAAAATCAATTCCACATGGATTGTAGACCTAAATATGAAAGACAAAAACTATAAAGCCTTTAAAAGATGATAGAGACAACTATCCTCATGACCTTGGATTAGGAAAATAATTCTCAAATGGGATGCACAAAGCATTAACCATGAAGAAAAACAATGATAAGGCTGTTTACAATAACGTTTAGAACTTCTATTCACTTAAAAGACAGAATTAAAAGAGAAAAAAAGGCCAGGTGTGGTGGCTCACTCCTGTAATCCTAGCACTATGGGAGGCAGAGGCAGGAAGATCGCTTGAGCTCAGGAATTCAAGACCAGCCTGAGCAAGAGCTAGACCCTATTTCTACTAAAAATAGAAAAAATTAGCCAGGTGTGGTGACATGTGCCTGTAGTCCCAGTTACTCAGGAGGCCTAGGCAGGAGGATAGCTTGAGCATAGGAGTTTGAGTTTGCTGTGAGCTAGGCTGACACCATGGCACTGTAGCCTGGGCAACAGAGCAAGACTCTGTTTCAAAAGAGAGAGAGAGAGAGAGAGAGAGAGAGAGAGAGAGAGAGAGAGAGAGAGAGAGAGAGAAAGAGGAAAGCCACAGAGTAGAAGATGTCTGCAACACTTACTGCCAACAAACAACAAAGGGCTCACAGCCAGAAGATGTAAAGAACTCTAACAAACCAATAAGAAAAAAGAGACCACCTAGTAGAAAAATATGCAAAGGATTCATTTTACAAAAGAGGAAATTTGAGGCTTCAATACAAATAGAAAAAGGGTTTAACCTTCTTAGTAACCAGGGAATGCAAATTAAAACTACAATGAGATACCACTACACAACCCCTACAACCCTAAGAATGTCTTAAATGAAAAAGACAGATACCAAGATACCAAGTGTTGAGGAGAATATGGTG